AGGACATTACTAAGAAGGGAACCATGGTATAGTTTTTACAAGTCTCCAGACTGAAGTTAAGACACAGAATACTACTTTTTTTATAATAATCCAATTTAAAAATTTCAGAATTCCCTAGTGTAAGCATGTAACACTTCAATATACCCAAATTTTCTCCAGGAAAAGGACATAAGTGAGGGGTAGGTAGAAGAATTAACACATAGTCCCTGACTTACAATAGTTAATTGCAAGAACTTTTAATGAATCACTACACCTAGGACACAATGCAAATAAAAAGAACAGGCTGACTTTTTCTGTCTTGATCTTACTTGCTTGTGTTGCTACTACTTGAATGGTACTACGATATAGCAGCCATCACAGACACATGGTGGGATTCCTTGTATGACCGGACTGTTGCAATGGACAGCTACAAACTCTTCAGGAAGGACAAGCAAGGAAGAAGAGGTGGAGGGGTAGTCCTTTATGTTAAGGAGTGTTTTGATTGCCTGGAGGTTAGTGATGGTGACAACAGGGTTGAGTGTTTGTGGGTAAGAATCAGGGGGAAGGCCAACAAGACAGATACCATGGTTGGGGTCTGCTATAGACCACCCAGCCAAGATGAGGAGGTAGATAAAACATTCTAAAGGCAGCTAGGGGATGTCTCAGGATCATGTGCCCTCATTCTTGTGGGGGACTTCAACTTGCCAGATGTCTGTTGGAAATACAACACAGCAGAGAGGAGGCAATCTCGGAGGTTCCTGGGGTGTGTGGAAGACAACTTCCTGACACAGCTGGTGAGGGAACCAACCAGGGAAGGTGCCCCACTGGACTTGTTATTCACTCACAGAGGAGAACTGGTGGGTGAAGTGGTGGTTGGAGGTCATCTTGGGCACAGTGATCACAAAATGATAGAGTTTTCTGTTCTGGGAGAAGTCAGGAGAGGGGTCAGCAGGACTGCCACCTTGGACGATCAGAGGGCAGACTTTGGGCTGTTCAGGAGTCTGGTTAGCAGAGTCCCTTGGGAGGCAGTCCCACAGGGCAAAGGAGTCCAAGAAGGTTGGACACTCTTTAAGCAGAAAATTTTAAAGGCGCAGGAGCAGGCTGTCCCCATGTGCCAAAAGATGAGCTGGCTGGGAAGAAGACCAGCCTGGCTGAACAGAGAGCTTAGGCTGGAGCTCAGGAAAAAAAGGAGGGTTTATGATCTGTGGAAGAAGGTACAGGCAACTCATGAGAACTACAAGGACCTCATGAAGCTATACAGGGAGAAAATCAGAATGGCCAAAGCTCAGCTAGAACTCAATCTAGCTGCATGAGTAAAAGGTAATAAAAAATGCTTCTATAAATACATTAGTAACAAAAGGAGGGTCCCTTATTGGATACACAGGGAAACACTGTGAGAAAGGACGAGGAAAAGGCTGAGGTACTTAATGCCTTCTTTGCCTCGGTCTTTAATGGGAAGACAGGTTGCTCCCTGAATGCACAGACCCCTGCGCTGGAGGACAGGAATGAGGAGCAGAACAACGCCCCCACAACCCAAAGGGAAATGGTTAGTGACCTATTGCACCACTTAGACATCCACAAGTCTATGGGGCCAGATGGTATCCACCCCAGGGTACTGAGGGAGCTGGCAGAAGTGCTCACCAAGCCACTCTCCATCATTTATCAGCAGTCCTGGCAATCCAGGGAGGTTCTAGCTGGTTAATGTGACACCCATCTACAGGAAGGGACAGAAGGATGATCCAAGCAACTACAGGCCTGTCAGTCTGACCTCAGTGTCAGGGAAGGTGATGCAGCAGATCATCCTGAGTGCCATCGCGCATCATGTGTGGGACAACCACGCAATCAGGCCCAGTCAACGTGGGTTTATGAAAGGCAGGTCTTGCCTGACCAACCTGATCTTCTATGACAAGGTGACCTGCTTAGTGGAGGAGGGAAGATCTGTGGATGTGGCACACTTTGACATTAGTAAAGCCTTCAACACTGTTTCCTACAGCATTCTCCTGGAGAAACTGGCCACTCATGGCTTGGATGGATGTACTCTTCGCTGGGTAATGAACTGGCTGGATGACTAGGCCCAGGGAGTTGTGGTGAACAGAGTTCCAGTTGGTGGTTTGTCACTCGCAGTGTTCCCCAAGGATCAGTGTTGGGGTCAGCTCTGTTTAATATCTTAATCAATGATCTGGATGAGGGGATCAAGCGCACACTCAGTAAGTTTGCAGATGACACCAAGTTGGGCAGCAGTGCTGATGTGCTTGAGAGTAAGAAAATTCTGCAGAGGGATCTACACAGGCTGGATCAATGAGCTGAGGCCAATGGCATGAAGGTCAGTAAGGCCAAGTGCTGGGTCGTGTACTTGGGTCACAACAACCCCATGCAATGCTACAGAAGAGCTGCCTGGTGGAAAAGGAGCTGGGGATGTTGATGGCTAAATATGAGCCATCAGTGTGCACAGGTGGCCAAGAAGGCCAATAGCATCCTGGCCTGTATCAGAAACAGTGTGGTCAGCAGGACGAGGGAAGTGATTGTGCCCCTGTACTCAGCACTGGTGAGGCTGCACCTTGATTACTGTGTTCAGTGTTGAGCCCTTCACTACAGGAAAGACATTGAGGTGCCGGAGAGTGTCCAGAGAAGGGCAAGGAAGCTGGTGAAGAGTCTGGAGCATAAGTCTCATGAGTAGCAGCTGAAGGAACTGGGGTTGTTTAGCCTGGAGAAAAGAAGGCTGAGGGGAGACCTTATCACTCTCTACAACTACCTGAAAGGAGGTTGTAGAGAGGTGGGAGTTGGTCTCTTCTCCCAGGTAACAAGCGATAGAACAAGAGGAAATGGCCTCAAGTTGCATCAGGAGAGGTTTAGATTGGACATTAGGAAAAAACTTATTCACCGAAAATGTAGTCAAGCATTGGAACAGGCTGGGCCCACAGATGGTGGACGCACACATGGTGTTATTTAAAAGACAGGTAGACAGGTGCTTAGGGACATGGTAGTGTTAGGTTTATGGTTGGACTCTGTGATCTTAAAGCTCTTTTCCAATCACCACGATTCTGTGATTGATATGTTCCTGGGAAGCAGGAAGTGCAATACAAGTTCCCTAGTAGATAAGATGGCTTGAAACTTCAGCTACAGTCTTGTTTCAATACTTCCTCTCACTTCAGTAGCTCTAAACCTCACAGCAAGACTAGTATCTTTAACATCTGTAGAACACTCTAACAAACATGGCAGTGCAAGTTCTGAGAATCTACAATATCTTACACAGTATACAAGTTTTACATAGCAAGCTGTGCATGCTGAGCAACTATCTTAGCCTCAGATGTTTTGCCAAAGACAAAATTCTAAACTTGCTGTTTACCCTTATTATAAGAACAATTCAAATTATATTTAAAAAAGACTAAAATACCTCAATCTCTCTATACGTTAAGGTTTTTTAGACAAAAGTTAATAGATTTTCAAATAGCCGAGGGTGGCAGCAGAACTTTCTTCCCGTCCCTGTTCCATTCACCCTCTGCCTTCCCTTTCATTCCTCAAAGATTTATTTGGGTTCAGTGAGGACCAGGACCTGTCTTTGGGGACTTTGCTCGCTCATGGACATTTAAAACCAGTTATTCTTTATAACTAGCTGTTGAAGTAAGAAACAGTCTATAGTGCTTGTTATAAGGAAAGTACTTATTATTACTCTTGAAAAAAAACCCCTGCTTCAACCTGGCCAATTATAAATCTCTCAGATCTGTAAATCATTCATCGCAGAGGTACGTTAAAGCACAGATATTTTCTCAGGATTTAATCTGCACAAGGTAGTTGCTAAACCTAGGCATGAACTGGTTTCTGCTGACTATACAGAACAGAAGCAAGAATTTCACAATTTCTTAATGTTTCTGCCATCAAAGAGAAGAGATGCTTAAAATTTACTCTAGAATAGGTATGTTTAGCAAAGTTAATCCATGTCAGAATTCCCTCTCCCCCTCCAAAGACTGTCATCTAATTAAAGACTACATCATTAAATACACACGAATGAAATCTGCTTTCACTCTGATCAGGTTAAATTTTTTAAACAGTTAATTTTCCATTTCTATCTTCTTTTAACTTTTTTAGTATGGTATGTGACATACAGGTAAACTTTTCCCTTTGGTCTGCAGTATTACTGGATTAACATGGACCCTTGTCTCTGTAGAAGACAAAAGCTGGTTTTGCTGCTGCTTTCAGTTGCAAATGACAGTCACAACCCTTCCTGAAAATTGCTGCTAATCCAAATCAAGATCAAAGTCCAAAACACTTGTGATTATATTGTTATCAGTTTTGGACAGCAATATTTCTCACAGTAAATAAAGTATTTCCTTTTTGTAAATGACAGACTTAATTTTCTTTTTCTAGTTTTACTCTCAATTTAGAAAGTTGCACTGATTTATAATGATTAAGACATGAAGCACAGAAATTTCATCACAAATTAATCTTCTCTTTCCATCATTCTAACCAGTCTGTATTTAAAGCATCAAAGTGTCCAAGAGCTGACACAGCCAGAATGGTCTTTGCTCTATGAAATTCCAGTATCTTTCTCTTCTCAGAAGGCTTCTTAACACCAATTTCTTTAACTAAATCTTAAACCACTGTTACCTGTGACAGCCACAGGTGAGCCGACTTAGATTCAGTATTCTAAAACTGAGAAATTCCAGTGCCACTTACTTTAATGCAGGCACTCGGAAATGAGAATATTTATCTCCTAACACACAATATGAAAAAAGTTTTTAAAAAGAATGTGTTTTCTGGTGGTTTTTACAGTTGTCTTACAATATTTTTCCTGGCATTTAAAGGACAATGTATGAGTTTTCTTTAAGTGTTAAGTTGATGTAATTTTTCCTTCAACCTTATTTTAATCACATAGGATAATTTTATTTTTCCTATATACTGATTACTACTTTGGAAAGACAAAACAGATATTTGACATAGGCACATATTTATTCTTTTAAGGGAATAAGACATAATAAGGTAATAAATGACAGCAAAACAGATAAGCAGATATAGAAATTTACCTTGCTGAGTATTCTGTTCTTGAGTCCGATTCACAGTGAGGTCTAGAGGGCTATCCTGTTCTTCCTGAAGGGAGTTTTCCGTTTGGTTCATTTGGATACTTTTACATATCAGATTTGGTTCAAACGATGAACCATTTCTGTTCTCTTGAATTTTGCTACTTTTTGAAATGTACTCAATCGCAAACTGACGGATCATTTTTTTCATTAATTCCTGAGCAACTAGGGGAATGTTAGGATCACAGTTCTGAGGAAGATCTAGGAATAAAAAACAACAACACAGGCAACAGATGTATTAAAAAACCAAACTTCCGTTACTTTTCTTTAAATAAATACTTTCTATAAGCACAGTAAATGTGTGTAATAAGTAATCATGTGTAATGAACACAGTAATTCAGATGTGTAGTAAGTTTTTCTTGTGAGCATTCCTAACTGGGGGCCACCTGGAAGAACATGTTTAGCATACACATAGTAATTTTTACCTTACTGCTCTGTCATATCATGCAAGTCAAACATGACTTGCATAAATAAATCAAGTATGGGAGTCAGAATCTGTATTTATTGTTGGTAAGTAAGATGAATTTTCATTTTCAGACTGTTCACTTTCAGTTTTGAAAATAAAAAATTTTGAATAAAACCAGTGAAAGTTAAATAAAGCTATGAATTAATACATAAAGAAGTTACTTTCAAAGAACAACTAACAAAAATAATTAAAGTGTAGTTCTATAGATTAGTCCTTTTAATAACAGAACAGTTGGACTTTTGAGAAGCTTATCTTAAAAAAAAAAAAAAAGAAAAAAATTTGCTTCACCTACATATTGAATTATAATCCCCATTGTAGATTCAGGACTGCAATGTCAAAACTTATATGACACTACTTGAAATGCCTCATACAAACTGTAGTAATACAAGCAATTAAAATTTACAATAACATTGTAATTTTTTGTTGTCTTACAGGATTTTCAGGACATTTCCAGGATATTTTCAAAGTGCTACTACTGAAAATATTTGAGAGGAAAAATCTTTATTTCCTATTCTCAATTCTACCTAACCTATTTTTTGTTTGTGTATGCAAGAGTCCCATAGAAAAGAACTGTTTCATTTTTAAAACATAAAAATAAAAAAGGATCAAACGAGATATGATTTTATTTCATATTATCTGTCAGCAAGAAAAAAGTTAAACCTATTAACAAGTACAGCTGAAACTATATTTGTGAAACATTGAAAAAAGAATCCTAATATAAAGAGAAGTACCAGAAAGATCAACAAAAGATAGGTACCTTTGCATAAATAACAATGTAATTAAGAAATTCATTTAAAGGAAGCTGAGTTACTCATCAATGCATTAATGCATTGATGACTGCAATACTTCATTTCACAAGACAAGCGCAATTGCCCATACTCAAAGATCTATGTTCTTCCTTAAAGTGACAGTGGTAGCACTCATTTCACTATTCCACTCTTCCTTCTTTCCTTCAACCCTACACACACACAAAACAAAAATACCCTTTTCAATGTTTTAACCACCGCCCATTCTTGAGTTCAGAGGTAATAAGTGAAACATTTCACCAAGAACAGACAGGTATTTAAAGTAAGGGAGAATGTGATACCGAAGAATTCACTTTTAGGTCAGCCTTAATTGTATGAAAGAAATGCCAAAGGACGTGGTAGCAGTTTACTGGGATACTTAAATCCAGAAACAGAGAAGACAGATGATAAATTGTTTTCATGGAAGTGGAGAAACTGAAAGGACTAGATAACGTAGATGTTTCCATGCACAATATAAACTTCCTGACAGGTAGTTTGGAGGATATTTGCTTGAGCATACTATGCCAATGAAGCCTTAACCATCTACTAGCACGAGCGTGACCACTGAGACAGATCAAAGAATGCTGCTGAAATTTAGGATGAATGCATAGTTTCTTTTTCCAGTGTTATTCAAAACATATCCCATTTTGATAATTCACTTTCACCAACAACCTATTTCAAGGAATTACAAACATGCATGTATGCAATCTGCTGTATAAACCACAGGAGAGAGCAGCTGACTTGTTCAGATGCTTCTTGTCAATACCTTTTCGCTGGCCTTTCAGTAATGCTTTCTGAGTTAAGGTGAAGCTCCATCATTTTCAAAGACTGAGTATATGCTAGACATCTTGGTTTCAAGATGTCTCATGCAAGGCATGACAAAATAAGTCTACTTCTGGTTGAAACTCTATCTTCTGCCAGTCTTTCAATCAGATCTCTACCAAAGTTTCTAAAATTTATAGGAGTTTCTAGAGAGGTCTGAGGTGAAGTTCTAAATGATGGAAGATACCTACAAAGAAAGAGATCTCCTTATTCATTCAGGCACAGGTATTCTTTGTTTATTGGTGTTTCCCCGATTCCTAAATAATGAATCCAATAAACGTTCAACTGGAATTTTATCATCCTAAGAGAGACACACTAACAAGGAAAGAAAAAAATCAACAAAAGATACTGAAGCAGTAAGGTAACAGGTGTAAAAATGCTAATATATACAGAAAAATAACAAAAGAACAAGGAAAGTCAAGAGATGGAATTTAAAAACTGAATTATCTAGGAACAAAATTAAGTGTCTGCATGACAGGGGAATCGTAGCTCTAGACAGTGAAAACTATAATCAATAGCTTAGCTTACAAAAACCAAGCCAAAAAAAACCCAAACACAAGCAAAAAAAAATCTGACAGCCAGCAACCAAGAAACTCTTACAAAATTAAATACATGAAACATCATCAACACTGAACAGTCTACCAGATATCTAATCTGGAACAGCCCTACTTATACAGAGAAATTAGTTTGTTGCTTGCACCTAAGAAAAACTTTTTAGAAGATTTTCTGGAGAACAGGTAATCTTCAGTGCAAATGGGAAAGAGTTTTTTCATTCTGGTATGATCTGTGCCTTTAAAAAGCAAATGATCGTAAGAGCACAGGGGACATGCACCATTAGCTGGAAAACACAACAGTCTGTAATAAATTTCTGCTTATTAATCACCATTCCCAGCATCAATTATTAAAAAACTGCAAGATAAAACTCCTTCAGAACTGCCAACTTTCTATTACCTTTTATTCCATTTTATAATCTTCACACTGGTAATATACAAACACGAACTACTTTTAGACACTTACAGAAGAAGCCTGCTTTTCCATTAGGAGCAAAGTAATTTTATTTTTTTGCTCTTACAATATTTTCTTTAGTATTATTTTTTTTTTCCAAATACTCCCTATGGCAGAACAAATGCAGAAAATTTCTCATATATTCAACTGCGACAGCTACTGGCAGTTTACTGGTTTTAAGTTAATTTACTCTAAAGGGGTAATACTGGGGAGGGTGAAGGGTGTGTATCTCAAGAGCATATAATCTGGAAGATGTGCTCCAGAGCGTATCTCAAGTGCTCTTGCAGCTAATATATATTCAATCTACAGGGCCAGACCACAGTTAGTCTAAGCTTAACTGCCCTAAATGCAAATAGTGTCACTATGACATCTTCAGCATTGACTGTTCTATTGCACAAGTCATTAAATCATAATTCATGTTGGAAGGTCTTTGGGAGGTCTCTAGTAAAACTATCTGCTCAAAGCAGGGTCAACTATCAAATTAGGTTGCTATGGGTTTTATCCAGTTAGGTGTTGAATACATCCATGTACGGAGACCACACAACCTCTGTGGGTAGCCTGATCCACAACTTGCCTGCCCTCATTTTTCCTTACATAAAAATGAACCTCATTTCAATTTGCCTCTGATCTTGCATTGTCCTGCTATGCACCCTTGTAAAGAGTTTGACCCTGTCTATCTCCGTAGCCTCCTCAAAGGTACTGGGAAGTTGCTCTTAATCCATTCCTATTAATGCTGCTTTGCTTCCTAACGGAGAATGAAGCTGTGGATGCATAACTTGGATTATGATGAAGAAGTAATTTAGAGTATTTTGAAGTTAGAAATAATTTCCCACAGCTCTGCAAATAATACAGAACAGAAATGAGAGAGATGTTAAATATTCAAAGGAAAGAAGAATAATTATATAGTTTCAGATACTATTTTCTTTTCACACGTAGATTTTTTTAAGGTTAAATGCAACTTTTACATAACGTTTTATCAGTATAAGACTCCTGAGTGACCAGAATAAGATATATGCACGTGAAGTGTATTATATAAAGTCTAATTACTTACATTCAATGGCTGCAAGTCTGCATTATTATACAAGTATGCAATGAAAACATGTAGAGACCTGTAATTTTAAGTTCACAGTGATAAAGTTTCGCTACATATGAGAAATTTGTAATTAGTCATACCCAATTTTTAAATGCAATTTAATGTATTTTGGGATAAGAAAAGTCTCTGAGCTTAGTATCACTATCAAATATTTCTTAATTATTATCAGCAGATGGCACCAGATATACTTTCTGTGACCTAAAAAGTTTTTATTTTAACGTGTTTTATTCTAAGATCTTTTATTAGGAGTCATGATTATAGCTACTTACAAAGCTTTAAATCTTCATGCCTACACATCTTTTTAAACTTCTATTTTTCACAAAGTTGATTTACAACACAAGGCAGCTGTATCTACTCCATGGATAATGTATGTACATACATACTACTTCAAACCCAGCAGAAGAGTCTCTAAGATCTGGAGTAAAAGGGGAGCTCTGATGTTCCTCTAGTTTCTCTCAGATCACAGTAGAACTCTTGGTATTAGGATAAGAGAAGGTTAAATGACACAATTGTATGATATAATCTGATATTTTCTGCTTGTGATTGTCAAGATTACAGTCAGAATGCAAGAGAAGGCAGTAATAAAGATGATATGTAATTATGACTAATTGCAATGATTTATTTTAATTCAAAGCTCACATTTAGAATTAAGACTTCCACAGTTTATGTACTGTACCACCTTGAAACTATTCAAATCCATGCTCTTAACTATTCTGTACACTAACAGCATGTGTGATAATTAGACTGCAAACAACAATGTAATGACTGATTTAATTGATAGTTTGGACTTATATATGTATTTGGCAGGACAATGGACAAGGAGTCAAAAGCTCCCAAAGTAGTGCTCCACAACAGTATTGTATTTCTTGAAAAACAGTATTTTTTCATTAAAAAGTCAAAATAGTGACTTATTTTTTCCTCTGATACAATACAAAAAGGCAGTGGAAATCAGTACCTTACAATCCTGTTGTGTGAGTAGCAGAACTAAGAACACCTGGCCATTTATTAGCATATTTTCTGTATGCACTCCAGCTCTCCCCTTTTCAAAAAAGGCCACATCTTCTAAAACTATCCCACCTCAACAGCCACCAAACTGTCCCAGTAATAGTCTTAGCTCTACAAATAAACTCGTCCAGCTCATTGCCAAATCACCAGCAAGTTAAAACCAGAATACAGCAATTTATTCTGAGCTATATATCATGATTAGTTTAGTTAAAATGACTGATCAACAAATAGAAGGAATAAGGGCCAAGTTCACTCCAGTTTTCTGTTCTTATGTTACAATGCTTTTCCTTCCTCCTCTGAGATGGTAATTTTCATTACTCTCTATATAGTCATCTCCCTAAGGATTTTCTCAAACGTAGTTGAAAATGACCAAGAAATTCAGAAGTCAGTGAAGACAGTAACACTGGCAGGCAGGCAGTCAACAGAAAATGTATGTTTTACTTCCTTAAAAAAGCAGCTGAAATACTGATAAAGATTCTTTCCTGATGAACTTGAAGAAGAGGGATAGTAAGGATGTTAAACAAGTTTACTGCACAAGCTGCAACAGAGTTCTCAGTTCTTACAGAAAACCTGTCAGATCTTGAAAGGACAAATTAGATTTCTTAAAATTATTAACAAAAAGGAACTGAAGGTATGGGATCAAGTAGTGTGTACAACTCAAAACTACATTTACACTTCTTTGTAATCCGATATTATGTGTGCAATGTTACATTTTCATAGGTTTGCCAGATTATATATACACTGTCCAAGAAGCATAACCAGCTCATGACATCTCTGTATCCCTGAGATATAACTGAGCAAAGAACAGGAGAACTCAGAGACTTAAGTGCAGGTATATGGTATGGTGTAAGAAAGACATAGTTATGAATGGAAGTATTTTAGAATACAAGATAGAACCTGATTCACAACTGTGAATGTATTTAAATGACCTTTTTTGTTGTTTTTGTTTAAAGAGGTCACATTAATACTGCATGGGAAAAAAATCTTCCAAGAATATACAATGTGTATCTCTAGAAACCCAGAAAATTATTCATCCATGACCAAAACGTTTGATCAAGCTCTTAAACAACTATGTTTCTGCCATTTAATGATGATCACATATGCCACATTCTATAATGTTCATAGTTTAAAAAAAGCTAATATGTATTTTTTCAAGCACATAATTATTTTTCCTTGTAACTGCTCCTTTGACAGAAGAAAATGGATGTAATTTTAATATTATGTAAGTAGAAAATTATCACAGTCTACTCTGCTTACAACACCAAATGGGTAGAGAGAGATGTCACACCTAGGAAGAAAGCATCTAGTTTTCAGATATATTGTTCTATGGAAGCAATCAATGTTTGATGACAAAATTTACTTTGGCTTTACTGAGGTGTCTGCTGAGGACAACTTTGCTACAGACAACTACCTACTAACCTGATCTTTCACTAACACATAGTGCAGATAGGTTCCTAATAGGAAGACTTTGCTACTTACAGCCTCTTAAGAGCTTACCCGTCTTGACAGCAATTCTATCATCCTCTTAAAAGGAAAGAGGAATCACCTTTGTCTACAGACAAATTCTCATCTATGAATGCCTGAAGGTTGTATGCCATAGACAGCGATATAGCATGGCTGCATGTTTCAAGATCTTCTGAACTAGTTACCTGATGTAAAAAAAACCAAACCAAATCAAACTTGAAAAAAAGCCTGCAAATTAAAAACCCAGCCATATACTAACTTGTTCTAAAACAAAAGGATAATTAGAGCAATGAACACAACTCTCAAATTTGCTCACCAGCCTCAGAAGTTGTTCACAGAGGCCCTAAATGATACTGGGCTAGTTACGATAGTAAGAGACAGTAAATGATCTTGAAGAGTTTGCAATCCAAACAAGTCAAATAAGTGTTACTTCCATTTTCAAGAGAGCCGACCAAGAATTCTAAATCTTTTTTGACAATGAAAGAGGATCTGGTTTAGTATCAGGTAAAAGCACTGTTCCTTAGCTAAACCAGTACTTGAAATTTTTTTTTATTCCTTTTTTCCTAAATTGATAATGGATCTCAAACCTACAAAAATTCAGAAAGCAGACTTGGGATTTCCCTAGCAAAAGTCCTTATCTTCCTCCTACAAAGCCAAGACAATTACTAAAATACTTCATAAATTGGTTTCATGTGCCCTTTGTAGATATAATTTTTTTTTTTCCACTTCCCATAATTTGAACAACTTAAGAGACTTTGCTGGAACTTGAACTAAAGCAATATTCTTAGAAAACTCTTCAGCAAAGTATCACTTACCACAGAATACACAAGTCTTTCAAAGGATCCCAAAACCAGTCAGAAAATACTTTGGTTTTGTTTTTCAATAGACAAAACCTTTTTAATCTAGCATTACTGATCTGGCAGATCAAAAAACCCAAGAAGATGCCAGAAGCCAAATGCTCTCTGAAAAACATCACAAAAGCCACTCACTCCAGAAAAGTGAGGTCATGACAGGTTTCATTTCTCCCATGGTAAGTGTTCCTCTCAAGGAGGATCAAGAGACAAACACTGTATATCAAGACCAAGGAAAGATCTGAGAGAGTAGAAATTTGAAGGAATTAAAATAGGGATAGTGTGGCCTAGGGATGTGCCACACTACCAGGCCCATGATGAAAATACAGTAAGAATTTCAGAAGTAACGAGGTGGCAGCTTCACTGGACATTTTATTTTGAATGGAAAATAGTTGCTTTTAAAGAAAGAAGATGGACTGAAAATGCTTTTGCACTCAAAGTTCTTTAAAGTCCTGAGCAAAACATAGGCTGAACAGCCAGATGACCTGTACAGAAAAAGATTCCACCCACACCAGCTGCAAGGGCACAGTAATCTCCTCCTGCTACAGCAAGGTAAAAGTGAGAAAATTAACTTTGTTTTTTTCTTCCCGCCTACGTGAAAAAAGAGAACATGCCTGACTCTCTAATTCTTTGTTGGAACAAGAGAGGGCTGTCACCCTAGTCATACTCAGCTATTTTGACATCCAAGTACACCTAGTAAACCCAAGAAAAATCTGTGAAAGTTGAATTTACTGTGTAGAGCTGCATTCACATTCCTTACACAGAAATTTAAGGAAGAAAATGAGTGGTTTTGCTGCTGTCGACAGTGACTAGCTAAGTAACTTACACGAAACAAGCTAACTTGTCAGTCACTCATGTCCTACTATAACTTTCTGAGTGCCAAAGAACAAAGATAGCAAAAGAATTAAGGAGTTACTGCTAAATACTATATTTTTACAAGAAGTTTCAACCTCTGACTCGGATGTATCTGAAGTAGGAGCTTTTGTGCAAGAAGATCTTAAATCCTATTCTGTGATCTGTAAGACACATTCTCACCCAAAATGGTCTTCCTGTTTAAAACTAGGAGTGAAAGTTTAGGGACAGAAAGCATTCAGATGCTTAAATTTCCAGAGAATGGCATCTAAAGTTGGAAGGAAAACAAAGTAGCAGGTCATGGTAAAAAACAAACCAAAACAAACAAAACCAACCAAACAAAAAAACCCCCCAGAAACCCCAGGGATTCAAGAGAATAATACACAATGCAACAGGACTAACAGCAACTGCAAGTAAGAAGAGTAGTGCTTATTTGGTGATTCAAGTATGCAAATAATAATATTAAGGAAAACCAAAACAATAAAGAGAAACAGCATTCAGAAGGTAAATAAAAATTACATAAGAATAAAAATCAACCCTAAATAACCTGAATTCTTCTAGATTTATGTCATATCTCTCAATATAAAACACATGCTTTTATTACCTTTCTTTCGAAAGAGTGCATTTAGATAGTTTTCTGCTTGGCATTCAATCTTATCAGTGTTGGACTGGCCCTGAGATGACAGTTCCTCTGTAGGCGTTGACTGTGAAGAACCGATAACTGATGCACGATCCTAGAAGACATATGAAGATTATAACATCTTTTAGAAGTTACTCTACTGGTGTATATATATATATCATATATATTTAAATTATTGAGCTATTGAGTGAAAAAGAATCACTAAAGATATTTACTCTAAAGCCAAACCACCTCACTTCCTTCTCATAGCCAAACTATCTTGAGTCAAAATGCATATTAACCCATTTGCAAAATTCAATTCTCTGATTCTTACTTTCATACCAAAAATTGGGTGTTGGGGAATCATGCTTGATATCATGTTCATACTTACACTGACTGTTTCTTTGTGTAAATTACAAAAGGAACATTTCTCATCCATAGACCAGTCAGTTAGCTCTTCTGGCTCACAGTCTTAAAAGAAGAAAAAAAGCTCAATGTTTTAAACAAGTAAAAATCAATATTGAGAACAAAATACATATCCTACAATTTTCTTAAATAAATTCCATCATAATCTAATATGCATTTATTCGTACAATGCACTCAGTAGCATTCAGTTCTTCAGATGTTTCCAATGTCTTGTCTGGCTCACATGGCTCAACTTTCAAATACCAGAGGGCACCTTTCTTAAAAGGAAAGGTAAATTCATATATTTTAATTGATTACCTATCACAGTTACTGAAGGCATCTGAATACTGTAAATAAAGCTCTGAATTCCAGTCATAATTCTTTTTAACAACTGTGAAAACTTGTAGTAAACTAAGCTAGGAATTAGGATACAGACTCTCTGTCCTTTGAGCTACATGTGTTGTACTTACAATATTGTAATTTATTTTATACCATTACTACAAGTAAACCAAAACCCTTTACTCACTCACAGCACTTGATTTATTCAAAAATTTTTAAAATAACTTTATGTGTTTTATCAGAAGATGTACTTTGGTCTTTAGGGAATACAGGACTTAAAACAGATTGCCTGTATCAAGTCCAGTCTTCTCCTACTGAATGGAAACACGTCACGTATTTTCTTTAGACAAGTTATTAAGCTTCATTTCAAAAGTTAAAGAGTTTTAAACCACACACTCTTCCTGAACCAATTGCTTTAAAGCCTTTCCCAAAGTGACTGTGCTAATAGTTAAAGTTTACCCTCTAGTTTCTTGTACTCACAGCAAGTTATCCCAGTTTGCTTTTGTGGCAACATTGTTATTATACCTAAACAGTTACAGTTCACAGGTATTTAGCACCTTGACATACTTAATGGAGAATTATTCCCCCCTTTTACACTTCATTTTGCCAGGCTAATCTAGTCCACCCACTTTTCCTTATAGGATTCAACCCCATCTTTTCTGTACCATTCATTTGAACACCTGTTCCCTGAACACAGGTGATCAAGATCTCAAGATGGTGTCTGTCTTCTACATCCACACCAGACTTCCTTAAACTGTAGACAGTACTTTTCCTACAGTATCCCACTTGTGCATGAGTGTATCACAGCTGCAGCACCTTTGCAAGTGAATATGAACCTGATTTAACTACAACACCAAGGTCCTCTCCACCCCTTTCAATTCCAGTTCATGTGCTTATAACCTAAACAACTTCCCCCTCCTCCCCCCTTATTAATTAGCCAGTGTATCCTCCTTTTGTCTGTAACACTAAATTACAATCACAGTTCTGTTAGGGAGGATCTTGAGGTTATCTGCTTTCAGTAACACACTGTGATAGGTTGACATTGGTTGGCTACCAACCCCCACATAGCTGCTCTCTCACTCCCCGCAACAGGGCAGGGGCAGAAAATAAGATGGAAAAGGCTGTAGGTCAAGACAAAGACAGGGAGATAGAATCAAAGAATATAATGGTTTGGGTTGGAAGGGACCTTAAAGATCATCTAGTTCCAAGCCCCCTGCCATCAGCAGGGACACCTTCCACTAGAGCAGGTTGCTCAAAGCCTCATCCAACCTGGCCTTGAACACTTCCAGGGAAGGGCATCCACAACTTCCCTGGTCAACCTGTTCCAGGGCCTCACCACCTTCACAGGAAAGATCACTTACCAATTACTGTCACAGGCAAGCCAGACTCAACTTGGGGAAAATTAATTTCATTTATTGCCAATAAAAACAGATTTGCACAATGAGAAAGGCAAAACTAAAACCACCTTACCACCCTTCTCAGGCTTCAGTCTCACGCCTTCATTCCTAACTCTTCTAACCTTCTCTCCCACCCCAAACAGCACAAGGAGGATGGGGAAGAGGGGTTGTCCTCAATTCCTAACAGTTCTTCTCTGCTGCTCCTTCCTCCTCACATTTTTTCCCTGCTCCAGCACGGGGTCTTTCCCACAGGCTACAGGGCTTCATGAACTGCTCCAGTGCGGGTCCTTCCCACAGCTGCAGTTCTTCAGAAACCACTCTAACACGTCTTTACCACAGGGTACAGTCCTTCAGGAGGAGACCACTCTACAGGCCCACAGTTCCTGCCAGAAAACCTGCTCCTGTGTGGGCTCCTCTCTATGGACTGCAATTCTGGTCAGGGGCCTGCTCCAGCATGAGCTATCCGTGGGCTGTAGCTTCCTTCAGGGCATCTCCACCTCCTCCAGTGGGGGGTCCTCCATGGGCTGCAGTGTGGATCTCTGTTCCGCTGTGGTCCTCTCCATGGGCTGCAGGGGAATCTCTGCTCTGGTGCCTGGAGCACCTCTACCTCCCTCTTCCTTCTCTGACTTTGCTGGCTGCAGGGTTGTCTCCCACTCCCCTCCCCCACAAAACTGCTGAGTTTTCATTCTTTCTTAAATTCATCATCACAGAGCCAAAATAAAAATAAAATTAATCTGAAAAAAATAAAGTTCTTAAGTTGAATGCGAACATAACAAATAACTCTGTATTATTATTTAAATCTAGTTTACTCAGCTCTAAAATGATAATTTATAACAGAATTCTGTATTAACATGTTAATTCAGGGATGCAAACCATCAGTCTTGACAGGTTGGACAGCTGATGACAAGAACCGAAACAGGATTTTTCTTGACTGGATGGTAACAAAAGATAAGGACTTATCTTTTCTGAATTAATCTAGTTGTCCCAGCCTGTTAGAGCTATTCTTTTAAGATGTCCACAGATGAAAACATCCCACGCTATTCTTTCATAACAAGTTCATGTTTTCGTAGTTTTCCTCGCAACCACAATAAATCTGCTTATGAATGTTGGGATTCAGTGCATAACTCAAAGACAGATTTTATATTTTCAGATAAATTCTTCTGCCTTGGAATCCTGAAGTTCCACTGTTAAAAGTCTAACTAGAGAGCAATCCTGTGTGCTGCCAAAAAAGCAAACCTTGAGAAACATCAGCTTTGCATAACACTGAATTTATTCAAAGAAGTATAAACCACATACAACAGAACACATTAAGTATGCCAGAAAGCTAAGCAAAACTGCCATCAGATAGCAGATATATCAAATGCCAGGCATCCAACAGTCTCAAGACAGTTTCTCAGGAAATGCAGAGATCAGTATTTTTAACTACAGATGGCCAACCGTACTCTCAGAAAGATCAAAGACACATGTGGCACTTTAAGTAAAACAAACTTTCTCTTAGCTGCATTCAATTCAGGATCATGATCATCTCCCCTCCCCATTTTATCTTGCTTGGGGTCAGCTGATGAAAGATTTGCTGGCAACCCATAACACTAGGCAGCTGACGAGAAAAAGTTGTCAGGACCGTGCAAAGATAACACTAAGTATGGTACAGATTATTACTTGAAACCAAAGTAATTTAGTACAAAGCTGTTAAACCTGTTTCAATTTTTTAAGAATAAAATTACGAACTTTGACAAAACTACTACCTTTTCTCATTTCTTAAGCCATTCAAATCTTTGTTTCTCCAAACCATTTTTCCCAAGGAGTCATGCTGAATTAAACAAATTAATACAGACAGCTGTTGTACTGAACATATTTCCATGTTTACCTCTTAAAATGTGAAATAATTGTCTAGTAAATCTAAATGAGATACTGTAAGGGTTGAATTTTTTAAGTTATTTTCTGCATTATTATAACATCCCAATAGATTTTCCAGCTATTTGTCACAATTCTGAATAAATCCTCTCCTTCCTTTTCATATGGCACTACTGCTTCCTAATAAGTACATTAGAGTGTGTGAGGTGTTTAACATGCTCCCTTTTTTAATTTCATAAAAACTTGAATGATAGAGATTTGTGTTCCTAGTATAATTTTTCACCCCATTACTTTATACATGAATAAATATTCCAGAGCAACATAAGGAAAAATAAAAAACATCCTCAGATAAACCCTTCATACTGTACAAAGTTTTCTTCCTGGCATAGAAAGAATGTGAAGAGCTGCTTTTCCCCCAGAAGACACCGTTTTTCCTCTGTCCTTAAGAGAGCAGAACCCCAGCACATAATCCCAAAAAAGAAAGTAAACACATACCAGATTATTAGATGAAAAGCTTTCTAACTATTTAGCTAAATATCAGTAAGTAGAATGTAAGTAATAACAATTTACATGTCAATCTACTTAGCTGAAAAAGGATATAAGCAAAGGATTCAAAAGCCCTAAGGATTCAGTGATACAAAAGTCTAGAGCTTGTTCAGAGCATGACAAAGGTCAGATGCCAAGATATAGAAACGGACACCTTTGCAACCAGAAGTTGCACTATCAAAGCAGTCAGGAAAAAAACTGGTGCTGAACAACAGAGGTGACAAGAATCATTTAAGCAAGCCCAAGTTAAGACCTACATGTACATCATGTAAGAATTTAAAGATAATGGAAAAAATCTTGCTATCTTCAGGTAACTATTGTTACGGGTGGCTATCTCATTTTAATTAGTCTGGCTTCTGAGTAAGATTGTTTCTGAGGTTTACAAGATATTTTTAAAATTAAAAAACACCTAGTAAAACTGAAGCATAACATTCACCATTTAAATTTGCCATTAGAATTGATTATTGTCTCAAGCAACTTTGAGAGAATACAATACAATAATTTAATCTATAGCTCAAATACTATTTCAAGACAGAACTAAGGAGGAACTATATCAACTAACACACTCATGTTACATGTTTATGCACATTTTTTTCTCTATTGTTACATGCAATACATAAAACCAACAATGTAAGATAAAGTGCTACTGTAGCTAAGCAGCATGTACTTCAGCCAATTTTCATACATTTCTGGATAAGAAAGCCATATAATTCATTGAGCTTTGTTCAAAGAAACATACATTCTTGTTAATGAGGCATAATGCTGAGTGTTGACAGTACTGGTTCAGTGGCTACAATGAGAACACCTGGAAGACAACGCAGTCACTGGTTC